CACCATGTTGGCCAGGCTGGTCTTGAACTCCTGACCTCAGGTGATCCACCTGCCTCGGCCTCCCAAAGTGCTGGGATTACAGGCGTGAGCCATTGTGACCAGCCAGAAAAATATATAATCTCTTTTAGAATATTTTTTTTCTTTTCTTTTCTTTTTTTTTTTTTTTTGAGACAGAGTTACCCTCTGTTGCCCAGGCTAGAGTGCAATGGCGTGATCTTGGCAACCTCCGCCTTTGGGACTCAAGTGATTCTCGTGCCTCAGTCTCCCGAGTAGCTGGGACTATAGGTGTGCCCAAACCTGGCTAATTTTTGTATTCTGTAGTAAAGAGGGGGTTTCACCATGTTGGCCGGGCTGGTCTTGAACTCCTGGCCTCAAGTGATTTGCCCACCTTGGTCTCCCGAAGTGCTGGGATTACAGGTGTGAGCCACCACGCCTGGCCTAGAAATTCATTTTTTAAAGAATTTTGGAAATGATGTATTCATTCAACAAACATTTTCTGGGTTTATAATCTATTCCAGTGACACACTTGGTGCAAATGCCTTAATGATAAAAACAGCCAGAGTCCCTGCCCTTAGGGAATTAATAGCCTAGACTAAGGGCTTACGAATGGTCTGTGATAAAGTTCTAAGCCCCAACAGGTGTAACAAGGACTCTGGGAATCTGTACTAGTCTATAGTGAGATGTAGGGATTTTTTTTTTTTTTTTTTTTTTTTGGTCTATGGTGAGAAGTAGGGATTCACTTCTATTTTTTTTTCCATATGGAGAGCCCATTGTTCCAACTCTCAGCTTTGAATATACCAGTCCCTCCTTCATGAATTACTAATGCTACTTCTGTTGTTTATATTTTTTATTTAGGGTCTAAATAACCCAGATTTTCATGCAAACTCATTTTGCAATCAAGGAAGATGAAACCTTATGAAGGTTAAATGACTCACTCCTGGTAGACGTTTAACATCTTAATATGTTTCTTTGCCCTGGCTGAGATGATCAACCCAGCACGTTCTACTGTCCAGCTGTAGTTTGTAACTATTCTTTGGTGTACCAGACCAGAGAATTTGGGCTTGAGTAATCCCCACCTGGTGTCCAGCTCATAGTTCAGAGGAAACAACTAAGCTAAAGACACTGATAGGCAAAGCTGAATTTAGCTACCTTTCCATCAGGAGATGACTTATAGGCTCTTTTCTAGGGTCACAGCCAAGGACTCATCATCCACATGGCTGTCATTTTTAATGGTGCCCCTCATC